GCCAATCTGCATTAAAAACAAGTTCATAGAATATTCACTGTTTTGCATATGTCTGTAGACCAGGTTGGCCTCAAACTCAGAGAGATCCTTCCTTTGAGTTCTGGGATTAAAGGCGTGCGCCACCATCGCCGGGCTGAATGGGCTTCAGTTCATTTAATCTGTAAAGCAGTCTCATCATCTTGTGTTATGGCTGAGGAAGCTGCACTACTCTGAATGTACAATTCTCCCTCCCCCAACACCCCTTCAGTAAATGTGAGTGCAGGGATTCAAGTCTTGTCCTCAAGTTCCTGTCCTTAACTGCCTAACAAACCCTGGGACGGAATGGCCAAAGGTCATTGTCTCCAAGTGGTGGACTGTGGGTTTCTTTGTTCCTCTCTGTATTCTCCACATTTTAATCATGCATTGCTTTAGTAATCAGAGAAAACAGTAAAAACTGCTTGAAAACCCTGCCCCGACAATCTACAATCTAAACCAGTCCGTTTAGACCACTGTCTTTTAGGGCCCTGGAGAAGAAATAACATAACTGGACTAGATTAGAATTATACTAAGAGAAGTTAGGTGTTAGGTGCCCCCCCCCACAGTCCCTGACATGTCACTGGAGGCTGGGTGAGGCGAGGAAGTCCAAAAGGAAGAGTGCATTTCTCACTAATTATAACCTCAATAGAAGATACGTTTCTCATGACTCTCCGCTAAAACCCGATGACAAAAGGCAACCGTGTTCATGTACAATAGCAATAAGCAACTGAAAACTGAGATAAACTATCACACCACAACCAGTTTAATTCAGAAAATATAAATAAAGTACCATGTGCAATGCACCTTAAGAAACAGCCGAAGAGTTAAAATATGACCGAATCAATTCCGACAGTCTCAATACTCTCTAGATTTAGCACAAATCCTTAATACAAGTAAACATCTCTTAAAAAGCATAAATGCAGATGAAGATACAAACATAATAACAAAAACAAGACTGCCAGCTGAGGCCCCTTATTCTTCCCAGCAAGCCCTGAGATCACGGACCTACTGTGTTGTGAGACCTGCTCAGCTCTGATGAATTTCTTTCTCGTTAATGTTCAGCTCAATTATCCTTTCTTTCTGAGATAAGGAGAATGATGACAAGGTCTAGGGTCTCTCTCCCTAGGTTTGTCAGTAGGCGAAAGTGTTGTGGGGGCCCTTCAGGTCCTCCTTTGCGAAGGAAGAAGCAATCCCCACGGTTGCTAGTGACTCGGGGTCACTTTCGGAGCCTCCGGTAAGAAAGCAGCACCTTGCACAAGCCACAGTCCCTTTCCTAGCTGCCTGCCTTAGTATGTGACCACAGTAGGCCTCAGACGCTAGGCTACTCTCCTTAACTTGGAAACTCTGTGAGTGTGCTGTCAGCATCCCAGACCCACAGGGATTGGAGTCCCCCCTCAATCTCTCTGTTGCAAATCACCTTTTCCTTCTTCCCTTCCACACTCGTGTAGGCAGGACATAGCATCCCTGGCTAGAGGTTCACGTCCCAGCACAAACTCAACATGGCGGAAAGAAAGGCACAGATCCTGTGCCTTCTTACTTGTTGTTGTTACCAGATACTTGAGAAGAAGTAATGCAAGGGGGGAAAATGTGTGTGTGTGTGTGTGTGTGTGTGTGTGTGTGTGTAGTGTGTGTGTATAGTGTGTGTGTGTGTGTGATATATAACACCTGTAGCTGGCCACCCTTCATCACAGTGAAGAAGGGAGTGATGAATGCTGGTGGTCAGCTCATTCCCACTCCCCACCTCCCCTACCCCAAACCCCCCCCCTTCCCCGCATCCAACACACACATTCATCCCCAAACCACAGCTCATCTTACGTCACTGTCTACCTCTAGGGTGGGTCTTCCTTCCTCAATTGGAACTCTCCGAAAATACCCTCAGAGACATGCTCTGAGGTGTGTCCTAGGTGATTTTAAATCCAGTGAGGTGGACACTGAGGGTTCTCGTCACACTTGGGGTGGGCATGTGGCCCTCTGCCATGTCAACTCCACTCTAGAGCGAATATCACAGGAAGAGCGAGCGCAGTTGTGCCATCTTCACACGGACTGAGGAAGTGAATCTAAGAACAAAGAGGGCCCTTCTGGAATCCCAGCAGGGGACATGTCTGAATTTGGGTAAGGCCTTGGCAACCTGCAAGGGGCAGGGTGGCAGCTGCCTGGCCCAGTTCAGTCTAATCCCCTGAGCTGTCCAGTCCCTGGTACCATGATTGTATGGTGTTAATTAAATCATTCTCATTAATTCAGTCCGAGTGTAAATTAGGAATGAATGAAGACAGATTATGTTTGAAGGCAGCTAATACATTTAACCCCATGCTGCTGATTTTGCAGCCTTAACAAAATAACATTGTTACGGAAGATAACAAGGCCAAAGCCTTGGGCATAGCTTCTTAACAGCATTAAAACAAAACAAAACCTGAGACCTTGGTTTAGTGTCCCAAGGCCAGGCAAAGATAGTTTCCCAGGGGCCTGCAGGACCAGCCTAACATCCTGAACCAAGACTGGCTATTGTACAAGGCAGGCTGAGCATTTCCGGAGGTGTGACATCTCAGCCATCGGCTGTATCAGTTGTGGTTCAGAATAATCACAATCCTGAGTTTCCCTGTGCATATACAGGACTCATGTGCCTGTTTCCTGTGAGCAGGGTGATAAGGGTGACTTTCACCATTGGCCAAGAGGTGCCATAAAATGACATAGTTTGAGTTTCTATGATTATAAATCCACTAACTTGCAAAGCACCCTCAGTCTTGGGCAAGGCATTAGGAACTTCCCAGCAGTCTAAAGACTTTTCCCATACTGGCTCAAGCTAACCAGTGCAGTGTGTGGGTCCCGTGTTTATCTCAGCATTTTCCAGTTTGTGTAACCTACATGAACAAATCCTATCACCCTGTGTTGCTTTTCTCCCAACAGCAGATGAAGGGATGTATCCAGCCACTGAACTCATTTCAGGCTGCAATTTCGTTTTCTTGATTTGAAGCACAGGAAGTGACAACATTAGGTAGAAAAGGTACACCTGACCTTTGCCAGGTGGCTTCTCCTGACAAAAATCCCCAGCCAACCAGCTGAGACATGTACAAATACTACTAGGCAGCAGCATCTAGGGCAGCTCTAGGTAGCCCTGGGAGACAGCAAGGCATATTTTGTCGAAAGAGAAAAATGTGTAAGCGTCTAAACATAACTGGAAGACATTAACTGTTGGTCTCCCAAACCAACGTAATTGTGTTTGACTCAAACCCGGGTAGATGAAACAGAAAGGCGGTCCCGAGCTAACCCTGGTGCCTCTCCTTCCTGGCCACACCAAACAGAGACGTTTTTAGAGACCTGTGTAGCAGCAGCGACCCATCCCTACCTTCATCTGTTGAGGGCCGGTCTCTGGTGTGTACAATGTTTCTATCTGCTTTGTGCCGGTTTTGTCCCTTTCTCCTAAGGACTAAGTTCTGCCTGCCTGGCTCGCGGCTGCCCTCAGGCCCTCTGCACCTGGTTCTTACCTTGAATCCGTCGTGCATTTCTGGCTTTGTAAAGTAAAATGGAGCCAAGACTCTGAATCAAAAATCAAAATCGCAAACAGATTTTTAAGAGGCTGAAGTGAGGCTGAGGAGTTAATGCTAAGAAAGGACTTAAGAGGGCACTGTCTTTCTTTACGATGGAGCAAAAGTTATCAGTCCGAATACTAGCAGAGAAAGCCAGAAGTGGAGCTGGGATAAAAAACCGACCTTACTGGTTTCCGCAGTCTGAGGTCTCAGGAAGCGCCATGTGGAGCCTCCTTAGCCAATTTAAACCATTGTTATGCCTGATGTTTTAAGGAAGACCGGAGGAAAGCGTGGGGAACAAGATAAAGTCAGTCTCCCAAGCCCTGCCTCTATTGAGGGGTGCAGATCTCCATCCAGAAAATTCACATCGTCCAAGACCTCAGTTCTCCTCACCTGTACAACAAAGGTTTGGATCAATAATCTATATAGTTCGTCCTTAGATTCTACCTCAAATATGGAATAAAAGCCAACGCAAATTGGTGTTTTAGCTCCCAGTCAAAAGACGAACCCTTGGCACAAAAAGTCAAGAGAGTCACAGACATTGGTTTCCACGTGACACCCCCCCCCACCCGCCGGCTTTCCTTTCTTTGCTAGGATCTCCAGGCTTTAAGCGTGGGGGAGGGGTGAAGGGGGCTATTTCTTGACTCAATTCCAAACACCACCACCAGCCTACAAAACACAGGAAAGGCCAAAGACTCGGAAGGTGGCCGATACTTCTTCCCAAAGCAAGGAGGCGGCGTGGTTGCATCTTTGAACCTAGCGGCCCTGACGATTGGTTGCGAAACACGTGGGCCCTCAGGACTGAGCCGGGGTTGCAGCGGCTTCTGCACCGCCAGGGGCAGAGTCCGGCTGCGGGTTCCTCACCAGCTTAGGGTGTTGGGGGACGACACCCGGCCAGCGCCTAGAACTGCAGTCTGGCCTCCTGCCAGCAAGTAACCCTATGTCCCACTTGTGAAACCTGCAGTATCCCCAGGGTCCAGACTTGGGCTTCTTCCCTTGGCCCCGTGGGTAGTAGGTTCTGCCTGTCGCTGGGGTGGCCAGCTCAGCGAGTGGCTATGTGCGCCGGTGCTCCGGACCCCAGCTTGGTCCTGGGCCACTAAACTGAGCATCCCGTGGACCCCGGCACCACTGAGCCCACAGCCCAGGACCGCTTTCTCCTGCGGGTGACCTCCCCAGACCCCGAGCTAGCCTTGAATTAGGTTGGCTCAAAGAGGCGAAAACCATCGGAGCCCCCTCTAACTTATTTTCTTCGCAGTCTCCGGGGGCTGCAGCTGCCCGGAGCCGAGTCGGGGCGTCCGCTTTGTCTCCGTGCACTCCCCGCCCCCCCCCCCCCCCCCGCTTCCTCTCCCGATAACTCCCCCTACAGCTCTTTCCCCCAGCTCCACCCGCTCCAGCCCGCATCGCGGACGCGCTTCCTCCCTCTCCCCCTCCCCGAACGAATCTCTTTGCATACGCGCCCCCTCCCGGGCGGAGGCGCAACTTATAGCCCCGGAGCGCGGTGGCCCGGCGCAGTCTGCTCCCGCAGCCTCAGAGCGATCGGCACGACGGAGGCGCTGCAGAGACCCAGAGCCGACGCCAGGCGGCCGCCGGTGTTCACGCCACAGCCTCGCTCCCTCCCACCCTGCGCGCAGCCCGCCTTCCTCCGCGGCGCGGCCGCCGCAGGCTCACTCTCCCCGGGCTAGGCGAGCGCCGGCAGACGCTTGGCCCGGCCGGGGCGCCAGGTCCTCAGCTGCAGATCCGGAGGCCGAGCTCCCTGCCAGAGCCGATCCGGGAGCCACAGTCCCCGGCGCTATCGCCTCTCCCTTCCCGGCACTCCTTTCTCCAGGGTGATCGCCACCTCTTCCTGGGACCGAGACGACCCCCGTCGGCTCCTCGCGGGTGACCGAGGCCAGAACCCCAGTTGTCTGGTTGTGTGCGGAGGCCAGTCGCCCACTGCTGTAAGTTTCCCCTGCAGCCCCAGACCTGTTGCGGGCGCCCGGATTTCAGGGGCGGGCCGGCCGCGGGGTGTGCTTGCGAGCAACGAGCCGGCGCCGGCCACCCTGCCTGCGGCTTAAACCCAGGAACTGCTCTCGGGGCAGAACTGTCGCCAGGGAAGGATCGGGCTGGGGGTGGGGGTGGGGGGGGCGATCTGCTTCCCCTCCGCGGTGTAACGCCCGGGCAAGTCTCAGGGACTGCGAGGAGCCAAGTTGGGAATATTATGCCGGCTCACTGCAGCCTCCAGACAGCCCAGCGCGTGGGATCCGTTCCTCATGGTGCCGGCTCCGGGGGACTGACGGTGGGGGGGGGGGTGGGCACGCGCAGACCTCCTCACGGGGGCATCTGATTGCAGCCAAATGAATGAAAATTCGTTCCTGAAAAACTAGTTTCTTCTCCTGCAAGCTTTTACCTTTTAGAATGACATTATTAATTTCAAAGGCTAGGAATTGGTGGGCGGGGTGGAGATGAAACTGAACTTGTACGTGTAATTTGGTGTCGCCCTCGCCGGCATGTACAGTGAATTAAACTGCGTTGCAAATGTTGTAGGGGTCTGTGTGGCGAAGGGCTATTTTTGTAAACATCTTTATAGTGTCATTCCACTGTCAATGATGTGAGTCCTTGAGCACATTTGCCTGGTTTCTTTTCTCGGGGGTTTGAGATCAGGCTTAGAGACTTAGAGGTGCTCAAAGTGTTGGTGGCGAGCAACCTGCGCGTTAAGTGAACCGAAGTTACTGAACTAGGAGCCCTTTTGATGTTCACAGTAATAGCAGTCTTTTTCTGTCTTCTTTGTAGACACGAGTTAAGTATATGTGTTCATTTTCTTGGCCATTTCCTTAGCATGCAAATTTATGTCTCTCGGAGCTTAAAAAATGTTGGAAAGGATGATTAATTTTATGTTGAAGGTAACTATATAAATGATTTTGTTATTTGCATAATTCTAAACCAGAAAGCAATTTACTTCCCTTGGGTCTTCAGGTGTACCTTTTGTTTTAATCATACATGATAGAGGATGTGAGATTGTAACAGTTCCTTTCCAGTGGGATGGAATCCAAGATGACAGGGTACAGTGCATTCTTCCTTCTTGCTTTCTGGGGAAACCTAGAAAATACAGCAGTGGAAACACAGGATGCAGAGTGTTGCCTATCTTGTATCCTAAGGTCTTTTGAACAAACTGTTTAAGAATACACCTGGCTATGAATGTTGTTTTATGCCACCCTGAATCTCCTGTTAATGGACATGTGCTGTGGCCCAGTGGGATTCCAGTTCAGCCAGCAAACACTTAGATGCTTATGTTCCTTTCTTGGCTCTTTGCCAGAGAGGAGGCAGCTTCCTGAGACTAGGCAATCTTTTAGAGGTTTAGGCTTAAAATCTTCCTGAAAATAACTCAGACTGAGCATATTCATTTAAATAGTGTCCACAATGGTAAAGCACACACGCTTCAAGAGTATGGAGTCTAACCCTTCATAAGCTTAGTGGGTTCACAGAGGGTCTCTCTAATGGATCAGGTCTTCAGAACTTTCCACAGTGGCTCAAGAGGGCAGGGAAGATAGAGTCTTAGCTTGAGGTAAGGGTGGTACATGGGTTCTATCTATCTTTCTATCCACTGGCAATATCTGGGTGCTTTGCCCAGGCTTTGTAACTCCGGAGCTTTGTAACTTTGATGCTAATATGGTTCCATTTAGCCTTGTTTACTCCTCCTGAGAAGTAACATTCCCAAGCCATAGGAAAACAAGTTACATCACCTAAAACTATGGGCCCCAAGGGTCAAAGGCAAGTCAGACACCTCACTTTGTTATTTTTCTGTGCCAACTTTCACAGCTGGTGGGGGGAATTGCAGTTAGTGTCATTTATAGTTATTATTAATTCCTGGAGTATAAATTAAAAAATAAATATTTGAATGAGTGAAGGAAAAACAATCGATTTCAGTTGTGCTATAAGTTCTGGCTATTTGCTTCAGAAAAGATACTGTAGCCAATTACATAGTCTGCCTCCCTGTCATAAACAACCTTCCCTGGGATCCTGAAAGGGGCTGGTCCTTCAGGGTTTATGTTCTTTAAAACAGTAGGTGGGTACTGTCAGAATTGTGAGTTAATTCCAGGTTTTGAGATGGACAGTAGACGTTTTCTAAATTATTGCCAGCTAGTTTCTTACAGCACATACCTAAAAAGATAGCATTAGATTCCACCAATGCTAATTTTGATACTTAGGAAAGCATTGTAGTGAGCTGATAAAATTCTTTAGTGGCCCTACATGAACAATGGTTTAAACACACACACGCACACGCGCACACACACACACACACACACACGCGCACACGCACACCCCCCCTCACCCCTGTGTGCTTTTAAATTTACAGAAAGCGGTGTTTGCAGTTTGAAGCCCCCCCCCCCCATGTGCAGGTGCAGCATTGCAGGTATCTAACAGTCCTGGTGATGGAGTGTTTAATCAAAGGGGGTGGATGCATCCTTTGTTCTTGTGCTGGTTTTCCAAGAACTGGTATAGAGCAGGAAGAAAAGAGAAACAGCGTGAGCTGCCTACTCAAAATATTCTTCCTTTTATGTGCCAAAGTGTCGTTCTGGAATCTGTCCAGGTTCAGAAAGCTGGGTGGTAATTGTGGCCGGAATCTATGCTGTGCTTGCGCTGAGGTCTACTGATCAATGTGTGGAAATGTTTACATTCTGCTGCATTTAGAGCGCCAGTGGCAGAACTGTCTAGTTAGAAACTGTCTATTTAACCTTTGTGTAAAAGTCTGACCTCTTCACGAGTTGGGTGAGTTACGTGTATGCAGAGTTTGAATCTAACCAAAGGAATTCTTAATAGAATTTCTAATTAGTAGGTGTTTGTTTTACACATGGCTTTATGTTGCATAGGGTATTAAAGCAGGTGCCCTCCTGATGTGCTTGGCATTTTAAGTGGCCTGGAGTGAATCAGCTGGCCTGGCGCTGGGAACCAAGAGAATGAGACAGGCTTCCCTGAGCTTCTGCTGACTTACATTCTGGCGGTCAGGTTTTCCAAGATAAACCTGCTTTTAAGCCATGCCTCTCCCCCCTCCCCCAACAGTGTATGGTTCAGATACCTCAACAGTATTATAAGGAATGTTTTTCCTCCCAGGTAGTTCTCTCTGGCTTTGTTCTGGAGTGGCCATAACCCTCCTCAGAACATTAGTAGCAGCACTAACGAGGTTGTTTTCTTTGTCTAAGTGATTGTTGCTTTTGTGCTAGGCTGGGAACATCAAGAGCATCGTGTTCAATGGCTTGTTTTGTTTTCTCTTAGGAGTTGAAACAAAATGTCAGTCAGTGTGCATGAGAACCGCAAGTCCAGGGCCAGCAGTGGTTCCATCAATATCTACCTATTTCATAAGTCTTCCTACGCTGACAGTGTTCTCACCCATCTGAACCTACTACGTCAGCAGCGGCTCTTCACCGATGTCCTCCTCCATGCCGGAAACAGGACCTTCCCTTGCCACCGGGCAGTGCTGGCTGCGTGCAGCCGCTACTTTGAAGCCATGTTCAGTGGTGGCCTGAAAGAGAGCCAGGACAGTGAAGTCAACTTCGACAATTCCATCCACCCAGAAGTCTTAGAGCTGCTTCTCGACTATGCGTACTCGTCCCGGGTCATCATCAACGAAGAAAATGCCGAGTCACTCCTGGAAGCTGGCGACATGCTGGAGTTTCAGGACATCAGAGATGCTTGTGCCGAATTTCTGGAGAAGAACCTGCATCCCACCAACTGCCTGGGTATGCTCCTGCTGTCCGATGCGCACCAGTGTACCAAGCTCTATGAACTCTCCTGGAGAATGTGTCTCAGCAACTTCCAAACCATCCGTAAGAACGAAGATTTCCTCCAGTTGCCCCAGGACATGGTTGTGCAGCTCCTGTCCAGTGAGGAGCTGGAGACAGAAGACGAAAGGCTTGTGTATGAGTCTGCCATGAACTGGATTAGCTATGACCTGAAGAAACGCTACTGTTACCTCCCTGAACTGTTGCAGACCGTGAGGCTGGCCCTACTCCCTGCCATCTATCTCATGGAGAATGTGGCTATGGAAGAACTCATCACCAAGCAGAGGAAGAGTAAGGAGATTGTGGAAGAGGCCATCCGGTGCAAACTGAAAATCTTGCAGAACGACGGCGTGGTGACCAGCCTCTGTGCCCGCCCACGGAAAACGGGCCATGCCCTCTTCCTCCTGGGAGGACAGACTTTCATGTGTGACAAACTGTACTTGGTAGACCAGAAGGCTAAAGAAATCATTCCCAAGGCTGACATCCCCAGCCCGAGGAAAGAGTTCAGTGCGTGTGCCATCGGCTGCAAAGTATACATTACTGGGGGGCGGGGATCCGAAAATGGGGTCTCAAAGGATGTCTGGGTTTATGATACCCTGCATGAGGAGTGGTCCAAGGCTGCCCCCATGCTGGTGGCCAGGTTCGGTCATGGATCTGCTGAACTGAAGCACTGCCTGTATGTGGTCGGTGGACACACAGCTGCAACGGGTTGCCTCCCGGCCTCCCCCTCCGTGTCCCTAAAGCAAGTAGAACATTATGACCCCACAACCAACAAATGGACCATGGTAGCCCCACTCCGAGAAGGCGTCAGCAATGCTGCTGTAGTGAGCGCCAAACTCAAGCTGTTTGCTTTCGGAGGTACCAGTGTCAGTCACGACAAGCTTCCCAAGGTTCAGTGTTACGATCAGTGTGAGAACAGGTGGACGGTACCGGCCACCTGTCCCCAACCCTGGCGTTACACGGCAGCAGCTGTGCTGGGGAACCAGATATTTATCATGGGTGGAGATACCGAGTTCTCTGCCTGCTCTGCTTACAAATTCAATAGTGAGACTTACCAGTGGACCAAGGTGGGAGATGTCACAGCCAAGCGCATGAGCTGCCATGCCGTGGCCTCCGGGAACAAGCTTTATGTAGTTGGAGGATACTTCGGCATTCAACGCTGCAAGACTTTGGACTGTTACGATCCAACTTTAGATGTGTGGAACAGCATAACCACAGTTCCATACTCACTGATCCCTACCGCGTTCGTCAGCACCTGGAAACATCTGCCTTCTTAATGCGTGGCATCCTAAAGAAAGTGCGCATGAGGTAAGAAATCAGAGCTGGAGGTGCAAACATGAAGTTCAGCAGGGTGGCCTAAGTTCAGAGGGTGTGCAATGAGATGTGTTGCTTGTTACCTATCTGAAGTTGCATAGAAACTCTAAAAGGCTTTTCACCCTTACAGGATAACTGCTGTTTTAGCCACCACTGCAGCCCCCATCAACAGTAACCAGTGGTTCTCAGCCATCATGGAACCTCAGAATCTCCCAAAGAGATTTTTCAGAAACTGCCCATTCTAGAAACGTTGCTTTTATTTGGTCCAGGTGGAACCTAAGCATCAGTACTGTTTATATGTGTTAGTCTTTTGCTTGCATGTCTGTGTGAGGGAGTCGGATCCCCTGAAACTACAGACAGGTGTGAGCTGCCATGTGGGTGCTGGGTATTGAACCTGGGTTCCCTGGAAGAGTAGCCAGTGCTCTTAGCTGCTGAGCCATCTCTCCAGCCCCGCATCAGTACTTTGAAGAAAGTTTCCCAGTAGTGTCCGACTGGGTTGAGAACCCCAAATATCCATTAGTGATTCCAGCTAGTGGTTGTGAAATATCATTGTGTTTCTAGAACAGGATTGTGTGCTTCACTCAAGCACCCTTTTGATGCTCAGAGCAACCCCTGGGTGCTATTCCCAACTACCCTAGGCAGGGGAGCAAACCTGGTACCTATGGAGTTTCACTAGTAAATTGTCCAGCATCACAGACCTCAACAAGTGGTTAAGCTGGTCAAGAAATCCACCGGGGCAGTCTGACTCCAGAGCACACACTTGAGTGTGATATCAAGCTGCTACCTGATAAACACGAGCTTCATCTTGGTGTCATCCCAGGGATACAGGGTTGCTGTTCCGATTTCACTTCTTCCCATCTTTCTGTTCTTAATAGGCTTCTAAAAGTATTGCTTCAGCTTTTTCCTATTTCATGGACTCAAGTCATGTATTTGCTTATTTACAATGCCCCCCCATACACCCATCCTTTCAGAGCATGCATTAACTTTGGAGGACAGTCTAGGGTGTTCTCACGGACGGTGCTGTTTTGTGTAGATATATTCAGCCACCCAAGCTTCCCTAACTGTATCCTCAGAGTTGTTCGGTCTGTCTGACCCTATGGCTGGGATAGACAAAAGTTGTATCCTGTGTCATATATCTGAGAATGCAGGTGTTGTCTTCTGTACATAAGAATATGTCACATTCTTGGCTCCGATAATGAACCAGCGTACACAGTTCTGAGTCGCTGTGGCTGCTTGGCTCCTATGAAGTATACATCTTATCAGGTAATAAATAGTTCATCACTGACAGAAGTCAAGGCGAGAATGCAAGGCAGGAAGCCTGAAGCCAGGGCCTGAGCAGAGGCCATGGAGGAGGAGTTCTTACTAGCTTCCTCTTTTAGCTGGCTTAGCCTGCTGTCAATCCTAGGACCACCTGCCCACAGGTAGTCCAACCTTCAGTGGCCTGGGCCCTCTTACATCGATCATTAATCAAGAAACTGTCCAAAGGCATGCCTATGGGTGGTATTAATTGAGATGCCCTCCTCTCTGATGACTTTTGCTTTCATCAAGTTGACAAAACAAACTACAAATCCAAAACTAGCTTAACAGGGCCCTAGGGACTTGTCACTTTGTTTGGGTGATTCTTGGGCTCACTACTGAATGTAAGGGAAGAAAATGATGCCGCGGAGGAGGAGCTGCAGAGTTTGGCTCTGCTTCTCTTAGGGTGTCACACGCCTTTAAAGGAGTCTTTGAAAGGAGATGGGGTTACCTCAGAGTGGTTGTACGCTCAACAGAGGGGTTTCGTCTTACTTGTCTTTCCCCACTTTTAATAGCTCGTTTGCAAGCATTGAAATTGGTTTCCCTTTCACGTTTCCCCATCACTGTTTCCAACCCTTTGGCTGTCTACTCTAGCTTCTCCCAGCCAGCAGGGCCTTGTTCCCTGGGCATGAGATTCTTCCAGAGGAGCAGTAGACCGACAGCAGCCCACACCAAACTGGTTTTTGCAGCCTTGCTGGCATCTCAGTAATCCAGAATAAACAAACCTTCAGCAAGTGGTTATTTCTCTTGAGATACGGTTGCATGACTCAACTCTCAAGCAGGTCTACAGAACCTCCTAGTCAAAAAGCGTTAATTAACAGACTCAAAATTAAGAGTTAGCCCAGAACTGACTGTGTGCAGTAGACCTGGAAAAATTGCCGGGGATGGTGGGAGTATGTCAGAAAGGGCCATTTGGGAGAGTGGAAAGCCAGAGAGTGAAGGTGAGCCAAGAAGACGGGTCCACAAGATAGATCTTTCTGGACTTGCATCTGCTTTTTTCTTTTCTTTCTTTCTTTCTTTTTTTTTTTTTTTAACCATGATATCCAAAAAATGTCCCAATTCAGATGGGTAGGTGGCGAAAACAGCCTGGTCTAGGTCAACTCCAGCCAATACTACAGGCTTTTCCTGTAGTAAGATCTTGCTCTGATCTGGCTGGAGTTCAGGCTGTATGTCCTGGGGACATTCCGTTCCTTTGATTATCAGCTGTTTGTCATTTCTATTCTTCAGTTTGGGTTCCCTTTTCCAGCCCAGAGTGAATGTGTTAAAATATTTGAACCTAATCACTCGCTTCTGGTCCCTGGGAAACAGCAAACAAAATGCCTCCACTTTTGGTATCCTAGACAGGAGAGTCAGGCACATAAAAGTTGAATTTGACAGGGTTAGCTTGCTGCTTTTAAAGGGTGACATGAGCCCCTGATCAAAGCTACTCTTTCGTTTCTGACAGGAAGTATGATGGTTTAAATTTCTAAGTTTACTATACATAAGATGGCGTTAAAAACCCAAAGCTGGGTGGAATGACATTCAGATACACTCCTTTGGATGCCAGCACAAACCTCCAGCCTGAATCCTCTGATTTTCAAATGCTGGTGCTAGATGAATTCATCCAGGGTTAGTAGACACTACGGAGATTTTAACTATCCCCTGATGCTCAGGGTGAGAAGACAAAAGGAACATTCTGATTTGTGGCCCCCATTTGACAGACTGTGGGCTTCCGTTTGCTTTGTTTCTTCCTTGAGAATTTGCCCCCTTTTAATTTTCTCGAGAGTATGCTGTGTCTTGAGATGTTAAATATTACAAGATGCATTCCTTTGGCCTAAATGTGGTTATACAGGTAGCAGGGAGGCGGGGCTGTGGAATGACACCGAGGGCTAAGGAATGTCTTGAAGGCTTGAATCACTGTTAGCCCACAGCCAAAAAGAAACAACTAGGAACTGACTCATACTTCTGAACACTCAAGCCAAAGAGAAGAATTTTCGATTAATGAGTGGTCCTGCAAAAACTCCCATTGTCCATGCTTGTAGCTAGAGCTCCAATGAGTAGTGGATTCATTTTTAACTGTGGCCACCTTCTTCTCTGAGGAGCCTGACTTGGATTCCTTGTGATCAGTGGGTCTCAGGGCATATCTTCTCTTGCCACAGGAGTGATAGTGTCACAGTAACTCTGTTTCCAGGCATTGAAAGCAGAAGATGGTAACTCATAATAACATGGCCATGAGTAGGCTCGGCTTTGAAACATACTCATGGTTAAGAAAGGAAAGTCCTTCCAACACCATTGTTTTAAATCTTTTTTTTTTTTTTTATGCACATTGGTGTTTTGCCTGCATCTGTGTGAGGGTGTTGGACCCCTGAAACTGTAACTGTAACGTGGGTCCTGGGAACTGAATCTAGATCCTCTGGAAAGCAGCCAGTGTTAGTCTCTCCAGCCCCCGGACACCATAGTTTTGTGGGATGTCCATCATCATAGTACCAAATGGAGTGTGTATATTTTCTATTGAATTTATAATTCACATCTTCAGGAGTGCTATTGCCCAGCTCCGCCCTGAAGTGTAAATTTTTCTAAAATTGTGTGCTTATTAGCAAATGTGTTAAACCATGACATATAACAAATCCTTCATACCTCTGTTTTTGTTTTCTTATTCTTGTTTTAGTTCAGGACGCACGGCGAGACAATATGAGGTTTCTGATTTGGAGAAGCCAAGTTTAATGAAGAGAAAGATAAACAGGAGAAGTTGCTACAAGACTCCTCAAATACCATCAGCTGCACCTTGTGAACACTCTTTAAGTGGACATGAAGGAAAGGGTGGGGGGAGGGGGTGGGGTTTTTCAATGCAAGTAGCACATGGTTTAAATATGAATGACAGAGCTTGTGATCTAGTCCTTGTCTGGTAATTGTGGATTAATGTCAGCGTTAATCAGCCCCTCAAAGGGAGAGAAAAGCTGGGCTTTTCCCTTGCTGTAGCTCATTCAGGGTTTGATTTCCATGGCTCTACCATTTATGTGAAAGATTTGAAATGGTTGTCAGCTTCCTCTGAGGACTGAGCTTGAAGCCTCCGTGCCAGCTGCTGCTGGAGACGCAGAGCCAAGCATGGGTCAGGAAGGAAGCTGGCCTGGCTGACTGAAGAATGGGAACCCCAGGACTCTCCACTCATCTCCAAGGGGTTGCGGTTCCCCCAGGAACGCCCGTGAACAATGGGGACATTGTTGGTAGCCGTTTGGTAGATGCTCTTTGCTATTTATAAGTGACTTTAAACCTTCTCTTGGCTGTTAAGAAATGTGTTCTAGATTTAGCTATTTATTGTTTGCTGCCTGCATGCTGAGACAGTGCTTACGTTGTCCTCACGTGTGCGGGCGTGTGTGGTTGCTCGTATGTTTTGCACATTTTGTAGCTGTTGACGTGCTTTGCTGCACAAAAAAATGAAAACTTTGGGGCTATAATTTGGAGGATAAGTAGAGGGTGGGTGGGGGAGGGGTGCGATTTTGAAATGTCGGGACAGAGACAGATTCCAAGACGGAAACTTCAACTACATCCCAGAGGCAGAGAAGCCACAAAGTCACCGTAGCTAGACACCCTTTACTGAGGTTTCGTGGCCACACTGATGGCGGGTCTCATGAGCAGGTAATTGGCCTGGTCTCCTTCCTTCCTCCTGTCTGTCTGATTTACCTGAGTTTGGTCTTGGCTGCTGATGTTTGGAAAGGACCAAATTACTTTCTAGTAT